CGAAAATTTTACTGCTGTGAACATAAAATAAAACGTTTTAAAACTGTTTATAACGTGCATATAAATACAAAACAACTTTTGGAAGCGAAATTATAAAAGTGATTTGTTTTATTTGTGCACAACGCTGAGTTGAGAAGCCTGAAAATATATTACAGTACATATTTAAAATGACTGCGAGTCAGGAGACTTTCTAATTATACGCACGGTATAAAGGCAAAAGATCGGTTGCAAAAGAATTTATTTCATACTATCTAGTAATCGCCGCTTTCCCAGACCTATTTGAGTCTGGTAAATCGTATTTTACCAGACTGAAAATTTTTACCAGACTGGAAATGTTGCCTAGCAACATCAACTGACGTCCATATAAACCTGTATATTAATGTGTCAAACTACTGTCAGATCAAACAAATCAAGTGATCGACTTTTGCTTTTATTTGAATGCGTACAACATTCTAATCAAAAATTGTATGGCATTTTAATAAGAAAAAGAGCAGTATGAAATAAAATGTTTTACTTTATTTGTATGTTAAATCAGTTAACGTTACTCGTTTCGAAATTCCTGCCTCAGCTACGCTTCGGCAGTAAACATCTCACTCATATGTAAATAATATTCTTCAAAAATTTATAAGAATAGTGTTGTCAGTCTATTACAAATTACTATTTTGCCGAATTTCGCTTGTCAACTCCTAATACTACTCCAAGCGGTCGCGGGGGGGGGGGGGGGGGTGAATTTTCTATAATATTTGGATTTTAGCATTGTTTACGGCAATCTAAATGCGATTTAATGTACTTTACAAGCCATTTTGGTTTGAATTAACATAAAGTAAGCATTGAATGTGGTTTTTCTTGATATTATGGGTGTGCGCGTGCACTTTAATCTGTCGCTTTTCATGATCTACCTTCTCATTGTATATTTTACTAAATAAGAAAACATTCTACCGAACAAGTTTGCGCGAATAAAAGTTTCACACCCTTCATGAATTAAGATAAGCAATGGACTATCTGTTACATTTTGGGCGGCACGAACATGAAGAGGGCTCGAAATTAGCGCCTGACAAGAAATCTATTCTGTAAAAGAAACGCAGTGGTGTAGTGCAATTTAGCAGTGCCGGAGCTCTTAAAATGTAGGCAACCAAGGGTATCGAATACCCCCCCCCCCCCAAGCAAAATTGGGGTCCAGAAAAATTTTTAAAAATTTGTAGTAAAATAAATGGGTTTTGAAACAATTTCAGTTCGTAGATTTTTGAATAAATTATTGCTCTAAAGGTGTAAGGCTTATCTAAGTCGCAAATATCATTAGGTATCATCACTTATATTAACTCCGTCTCCTATCCTGTGCCGGAGCGCCGCTCCCCTCTCACAAGCAGTGCCGGAGCAGCGCTCCGCTGCGCCCCGGCTCCACTACACCACTGAAGAAACGAAACAAAGTTAATGTCGGTCAGTGGCGTATAATTGGGGGTAAACTAAAGTAAATGGTAGGTGAAGTAGACAGTAAAGATATTTTTAGTCAAGGAAGTCAAGATATCCTGATAGTTCCAGAAAACCCGTCCATGAACATGGATAATGGTCAGATGCAAGCAAAGCAGAAAGAAATGAATTAAAGAAGAGAATTACTGTAGAAAAGTGTTTACGGCGCCTTATAAGATCCTCGGAAATTAAAGTACTCGGCCCCAAGGAACCTCGCACTTCAATATTTCCTCTCCAGTAATGTGTCATTTTCCTGGCTTTCATGTAAATAACTATCACGCCGATTGGCAAAGACCTTTTACAACATGTACATTACATTACAGTTGACAATACATTATTCATTTCTTCTCTTCTTTCTAATATCCTCTTCATCAACCTCTTTCCTTTCCCTCCCCTCATCCAATATTTTTTTCTGCTTTTACCTGTTCTGTCTACTTCTTTGCATTCTATTATTAGGTGATCAATGTCACCATCTTTCTCTCCTTTTCTCTCTCCTCGTTTTCACATCTGATTCTTGCAATTATTTTTATGTTTTTCTTTTCCCCCGTTAGATAGTGGGGCACCCCTTCCGTTATCAGCTCAATGTACCTTTCGTTTCCTCTCGAATTCTCGATCCTCACTATCCGCAGCTGAACTTTTAGATCTTTGTCCTTTTTTGAAATTCCTCTTTCCAACGTTTTCCATATTTCTCTATTCCTTTGGACCTCTACCCATCTGTATCCGTTTCTTTCGTAATAGTTTTTCCTTTGTTCCCATCCTCGTCTCTAACCCTTCTTTCACCAATTCACTTTCTCTCCTTTCCTCGAATCTTACTGTCCCGACTCTATCCTTATCTTCTACACTTTGATTTCTTCCTTAAATATGTAGTTTGGTACCTTCTGTTTAGTCCCAGTACCCAGTTGTAGTACCTTCTTTGCATTCTTATTCCCTCTCTCTCCTATTCCCCGCAACTGTCCACTACTTTTACCCTGCCTAAACATTTTCTCCATATCTCTTATGCAGAAATTAAATAAGATTGGACTAAGTGGGACTCCCTGTCTCAATCCTTTTCTTCGGTTCTTTAAATTTTTGTCTATTTTTCCATCCTCCATCATAAATTACATCCATGAAAAACGCTATTACATTTCCGACTTTTTTTCATATAATACATATACTTATACTGTAACGGAAACGCTCCAGACATGACGTCGCCTTTGGCGCTCTGGAATTTTCTAGACGCGCGATGGTGGGGATGTTTGCAGCGTGTCTGGTAATTGCGCGAATGTTCTGGACTTACATTGCTTGCGTGTATAAATGGTTGCGGACCGAACATCGCGCAGTTTTACTACCGAACGAGATCGAGTACGTATGAAACATCGAGCGCGGAAATATAAATTGCGAAGTGTGTGATATAAATAGTCGATATAAATTGTACGGGTTTTTATAGTGTTTTAGTTTTGTTTAATAAATATTGATATAAATCGAACCCGAATTTATAAATCACGTTACAATACAGTCGATTTTTCCCCTTCCATTTTATAAAGCCCATTTGCGTTTCCTCTAACTCTTTCTTCGATTTCTCTTTCTAATATTGCATTCAGTACCATTGCGCAGATTCTACACACCGTCCGCCGTCATTATCGAAAGTCTCCTATATTTCCATACAGTCCTTTCCAACTTTTTTGTAAATAGGCACCATTACCCCTTCCTTCCATTCTTCCGGTAGTCCTCCTCCTTTCAATATGTTGTATATTAGTTTCCTTAGCTTCTCCATAATACTACATATAGAGATCCTTGCGGCCCTCCCTTTCTTCAGTCCCTTTAATTGTCATTCCATCTCTTCTTTTGGTATCTCGTCTCCTTCCACCTCCTCTCTTCCTTGATCGTCTATCCCTTGCCCTTTCTTCTGCTTGCCTTGTAGTATCTCCATACTGTACTGCTTCCAGTCCTCTATTTGTATTTCTTTCCCATTAAATGTGCTTTCCCTTTTCCCCTGTTTATCAACTTCCAAAACTTCTCCGTTTTTATTTCCCTGATGAAAGCAGAATTTTTAAGCTTTAATAAGTGTCATGATGATGTAAGGAATTTATCTGGATAATTGCGATCAACGAAATTCGCGTCATTGTACACTGTTGGTTTTCAATGTGTCTTTGTTTTTTTAATTGTCTCTAGCGTCAGTCGCGCCTCGAAATCTGTTTGTAGGGTGAAATTGCATATGTTTTAAGAGGATATAGTTTACAGTTCTTAGCTCATTATCGGGTAGAGCTACCGTGGAAAATGCTGACCGTGTAGTTCTTTTGAAATGTGCAACAGCTTTACAGCCGTTCGGGATTGGTAGTACAAAAAGCACTAACCAATAGCAAATTTAGATATCACCATTTTAACGCCGAAACTTCCATGCTCAACTGGGATGTCGGGATGTTGGATATTCAGATGATCTTGGAATTCCAACTAGACTTTGGATTGAAGATTCCAGGGCGACCTTGTTTTTAATAATAATAATAATAATCATATAATAATCATGTTATCCTTTAGAATCTGAGATGGGAACCTTGGTAAATAGGGGCGTAACATCGAAGCTGACCAGAAGACCTTGGGGATCTAAGCGAACATCGGAGATGCGTTGAATGAAATGACCGGAGTTCAGAATGTGGGATGATGTGCGACCTATTTAATTAGCGAGATACTTGGCGAGCTTGTAAGTGAGCAATAGTTATTTACATAAAAGTCAGGAAAATGACACAATACTGGCGAGGAAATATTGAAGTACGAGTCAATAGTGTCACTTTAAGGACGAGTTTTGTATTAAATTTTATCCGAAATTTAATATAAAATTTAAATTTTCATATAGAACTTTGGATCTCAAGATGTCAGTGATGACAGGAGTCATATAGACATTTAGCAATGTAACAGATGCGGCCGGTAAAGTGACAGGCGACAGGAAAAGTAGTCTAATCTGCCTCTGTCATGGAAACTAAAATTTCCTAAGAGAAAGTAGGCATGAAAATGAAGGTTTCAGGACGATTTTGGGTAACGAATATTATCAGCATCACGGTATCAGGTCGAACGTGACAAATTCACCGACTTTACATGCGTAACATTTTTGGTTATAAAATGGAACATCCGATTAAATCCCTTCAATTGGGGGTGTTAAAACAGAAATGTTCATTTTAAAAGCACATTTCTCGTAATTTACAAAAAGGATTTTTGTACACTACTACTCTACCTCCCTTTGTAATGTGTTTTGTTCGCAACCGAACACGTCAAAAAATGAATTTACCGAGAAAAGCAAGTCATTCTCGGGTAATTACTGTGCTAAAAGCCCCAATTAATCTATTCCGCAAAGCAATTAGTGCCAATCATTGTACATATGCATTTTTACACTATATTACAATAACTGAATCGTGTTGTGCCACGATTGGCAAGACAAGATTGTAAAAAATCGTGTGGGAGCATACTAAAACATTGTATTTGTTAGCGTGTGGCAGAGCAAGTCGAAATTAATTGCTTATTGATCGGCCCTTTCCATTGTCCCACTTTAATCAAACTCCAAGACGACTGCACCGTCGTTTAATCACAATCGCAGTTAGTGATTTGATATAGACATATGCAAATAATAACGGCACGTCTCACTGTTTCAGAAAATGGAAACGTTATCCTACATCGAACTCGTAGAAATTACGAGGCGGGAAGCGGAAAGAAAAATTCTGTCGAAATTTCATCAGCCAGTAGAAGATCGACGATATTCTCTACCGAAAATTCGACGGTGGTGTATGCTCAAATTGGAGGAACGGCTGCTCTACCTTGCGTGGTTAGAAAATTTAACAGCGGAGTGGTGAGTAATACGTTCTAGTTTTCACCCTATAATTTCGGTCCGTAAAAAAGTCCAAGTATTCGCAAATTCAGTTCCGGAATCAACCGTTCTGCACTATCATTGCATTTTTAAATTAAAGGTCTCCTGGTTACGACGGAAGCAAGAGCCGCCTACTTTATTGACTGTCGGATTAACGACCTACAGTGCGGATGATCGTTTCTTTGTGGAGCACGTTAGACACCTTCAGAATTGGGGCTTGCTAATCAAGCACGTACAACCCTCCGACGAAGGGCACTACGAATGTCAAGTTTCCACACATCCACCCACCAGCATTTTTATCCAACTGAAAGTAACAGGTGATTAACTTGAAATATTAAATGCAAATTCATTAAATATTCACTGCGCGATTTTGTAAATTAATGAAGCTGCTTTGTTGATTCAATAACAGAAAGGCATTTCAATACAACATGTTAATTAATACTTTTTTTTCACAATTACAGCAAATCGTTTGAACGGTGTCAATCTCCGATTGAAAAGAATTTCGAAATTTTAAATTTGGCGTAAAGTACGTAAATATTAAATTTTAATAGCAATCAAGCTTCTAAAGCTAACGAGTTATTATACACCCAAACATGTCGAGTTCTAAAGTTCAAATTCATTTCGCTTTCATTTATTTCTGAAACGCACAGAAATATGTGAACGCCTCCCCTTGAGTTCATTTTCAATGCCCCGCAAAGGGCTAAGTGTATGAGTGACACAAATTCTCCACCAATCTGTGTGTATTAAAATTTACTTTAAAACCCCTTTTGCGTCGAAGTATACAACTAGGGCATTTCATATCTGGGATAATTATAATATTGATTCTTAAAATTTGCATTACTTACTTTAATTTAAATAATGGATATAGATGTTTTAGTTTCCGACGGGTTATTTATTTATAGTTTCAATGGAATTTCTCTGGCAATCTTGTTACTTTAAAATTCCTCCTCGCGGTATTAAAATACGTGCAACGGCAAATTGGGATTATCTGCGAAAAGTAAATAGAGAACTAAAAATATTAAATAGAAAATCCCCACACTCAATTAGATCGAACTTGCACTGAGTCATTTAAACACCACCGTAATCTGAAAATATAGCTCTTGGAAATTTAACACCTAGGGACAGTCTTTCATTTTATCGTAAAATCTATATCTGGCTGTTTATTTCCATGGAAACATTGTACACCTTTTTGGACACCTGAGTTAATAATGGGCACAACTTGTACTGTACTAAAATGGCGATTAGAACCCTTGTCGATTCAGAAAGGTTGGGTTATCAAATACCGATTAATCGGTTGAATTAAAATTCCGATGCTGCGCCAATGTCATGGTGTATTGTCCCGGCATTAGTTCAATCAATCAATCTTTGTTAGACCCAGCTTGGCAAATTTTTTTACAATCTAACTTAATAAAACTAAAATGCGGTTACCTCCTTTTTTAAAATCTACGATTTCTACTTCTCACCTCCTCCCCCTCATCTAGCACCTCACTCCTACTTCTCCCTGTCATTTCCACCTCCTTACAGTTTTATAACATGTGTTCTATGACCCCTTCTTCCTTCCGCATAGTCTACATTTTCTTTTTTTTCTTGTTTCCATTTCTCTTTCCTTTTGTTCATGTCCGCGTCTGAATCTCGCTATTGTTGTAACATGCTTTCTTCCTTCCCATAACTATTTTGGTAACCACCCCTTATTAGGTTTTTATAAATACGACTTCCTCGTGCGCTCTCTATCTTCACCCTCTGTTGTTATATTTGTGCATTTTGCCAGATCATTTCCAACTTTTCTCCTACTCCTTTCCTCTTTTCGATCTCAGCCCGTCCGTATCAATTCCTTTTTTCTCTTAGTTCTTCCCAAATTTCTTTTGCGTTTATCCTCGTTGTCAAGCACTCTTTACCAATCCATCTCCTCGTATTTACTGCCTTTCTTTTAATATACAATTTGGTATCCTTCCGTTTAACCCTAATACCCATTTATAATAGCTTCGTTGTACTTCTTCCAGTTCCTCCCATTCCTGCAACCCCCATATTCCCGTTCCGTAGATGAATACCCCTCTCACCATTGCATCGATGGGTACTCGTTCTAAAACCATTCTTGAAGCCCCTCTCTCCAATTCTCGACACGTCTGATCTCATTCCACCACCCCTTTTTTACTTATCTGCGCATATGCATATGCCCCATTGTTTATTTGCATTTGGTATCCTAAATATTTAATTTCTTTTACCGTTATCTATTTATTTAACATCTATCTCCCTTTTCCTTCCACGCCTTCCCAAATCTCATCATTTTCGACTTTTCTATATTTAGATCCATTACTTTCCTTCCTCTGTCTTGACTTTTTTCATGTGTTTTAAGTATAAATTAAATAACGTTGGGCTAAATGGCCATCCCTGTCTTAGTTCTTTAATTCATACTCCTTTCCTTCTATTCTTACCCTAAATCTGGTCTCTCCATATAGTTCCTTGATTCTGTCCTTTAGCTACTTGTCAATTTTCCAATTTTCAATCATCTTCCATACTTTTTCTCTTTCCACTCTGTCAAACTCTTTCGTTCCTTTCCATTTCCATACGCCGCCGTAGTCATTGTAGTCATTCCCCCACAATCTTTGCTACCTCTTTTGAGGAGCGGGCCTATTACCCCTTCTTTCCATTCTTCTGGTAAACCCACTCCTTTTCATACCATATTTAGTAGATTTCTCATCCTTTCCTTGACCCTATATGTGGTCAAAGTCAAAGTCCAGGCCTCATTACTTATCCCGCCTCTTCCTGTCGCTTTCCCTTTCTTCAGTCCCTCTGCCATAGCCTCCTTCCTGCCTTCCTTGTAGTAACTTGAGAAAATGTTGCAATTCCTCTAATTTTATCCCCCCCCCCCCTCGCCACTTGTTCTATTTTTTTTCCTCTACTGCTTATCACCAAAAATTCTTCTTTTCGTCGTTGTGTTTATCCATTTTCGTTTTTTTACATTTTTCTTTTATACTTTTTTCTGCTCTCTCATCTCTTTCTCCTCTATTTTACCTCTTCTTTTTTTCCCCATCATTTCTCTATGTTTTTATTTTTTTAAATTTTATTTTGCTTTTATTTTTGAGTGGACGGGGTTTCAGAGAAGGCTGCTCTACCAACCCAACCCACTATACTTGAATAGTTCTTTTACTTAGGAAGCGTTTCCGACCTCCATCATCAAAAAGATCTCGGGCTAATACTGATGTTTTTCTTGTTCCAATTTGCACTTTCAATGCTCTGTCTTTAAAAGGACTTCATTGGTGGATACAACATTCGATCCACTATTTAGAGTTGCTTCTTTATTTTCAGTTTTTTCTCTCTTCTTAATAATAATAATAATTTTATTCGTCCCTTGAACTTGATCGTTGTGGGATAAGTCATTACAATAAAAATACAGTCAGTAAACACAAATTACAAAAGAAATAGAGCATACAAATTCGAATTAGTTTATAATCTGTCATCAAAATATTCCTTAAGGGAATAATAACTTTTTTCAATTAGCATCTTTGTCACCGAGTTTTTAAAATGTGAAGCTGATAAAATGTTTTTAATGTTTCTAGGCAATTTATTGTACACTTTTATAGGCATGATATAACAATTTTTTGCCGACAAGGTGTATTTATGGGCCGGTATCGGTAGATGGTCGTCCCGCCGTAGATCGTATTTGTCCTGCCTATCGGTGGAGAGGTAAATTTTATGTTTACGGACATAGATCGCGCACTGCAAAATATATACAGAGGGCACTGTAAGTACGTGCAAGTCCTTGAACAATTGTCTGCATGGGTAGCCGTAAGGTTTGTAACAAATTATCCGTAGCATTCTCTTTTGTATAATGAGGATGCTGTTAAGTTTCGAGCTATTACCCCAAAGTACCACACCATAAGACACTATAGAGTGTACGTGGGCATAATAATAATTAAGCAATATTTTAAGAGTAACAGAATGGCGGAGGCGCCATAGCACATAACATTTTTTTGACAAAATATTGCACAAGTAGTCAATATGCGAGTGCCACGTGAGATTGCAATCAATAAATATACCCAAAAACTTCATGGTTTGATGTTGGCGAATACATTTATTGTCAAGTCTGACTAAAAGACTGTAATTAGGCACTTGGGTGGAAAAAGTCACTAGGTTAGTTTTTTCACTGTTTAATATAAGTCCATTTCGGTGACAATAATCCGCCATTTTTAACGCGCACCTGTTTGCACCTTCAGTTGACGCTTGTACCGTATCAGCTGTAATTAACGCTGAAGTGTCGTCCGCAAATAGAGTCAGAAGTTCAATGTTATTGTTGAAAGAGTCTATTAAATTATTTAAAAAAATGACAAAAAGTAAAGGCCCTAGAGTACTTCCTTGAGGAACACCAATACACACTTCTTTCCGTGACGAGTTGTACTTACTACCTTCCGCCGCTATAGAGACAATTTGTGATCGTCCGGTTAAATAAGAAACTATCCATTGGTAAGCAATACCCCGGACTCCGTAGTGTTGTAGTTTATGTAAAAGGAGTTTTTGATCTACTACATCAAATGCTTTAGAATAATCAAAAAAAAGTCCAGTGACTTTTTTCCCTAATTCGAGATTTCGGAAGATACAGCGTACAGATGAAAGGACTGCATCTTGGGTGGATAATCCTCTTCGGAAACCAAATTGATGCGGATACAGGATCTTGTGGCGTAGTAAGAAGTTCATTAATCGTGCATAAAACGCTTTCTCAAGAATTTTTGAGAAAGCAGATAGCAAAGATATGGGTCGGTAATTTCCAAATTCGTTTGAGGCGCCTTTTTTGTGTACCGGAATCACAATTGCAGTTTTTAGTACTTTTGGAAATGTTCCATCTGCAAAAGATGTATTTATTAGGTGACACAGCACGGGTGTAATATCGCTAGTGATGTGCTTCAAAATAGCACAAGGAATTCCATCACTTCCTGCAGAATACTTATTGGTGATTGACCTAATAATATTCTCAGTTTCTAATTCATCGATGGGTTTTAAGAATAAGGTGTATTTACAGTTGGTGCCGATAGCGATGTTGGAAGTTGTAGGGTTTGTGGTTCTAGACAGCTCTTCTACTGAGGAAATAAAAAGGGTATTGAAATTCTCCGCGATGGCCGCATATCCAACTAAAGTGTTGTTTGTGGCATCTCGGAATTCTTTCGGATATTCACTATGCTTAGAAGGGCATTTGGTTTCCTGCGAGATTATTTTCCACGCGCATTTGGACTTCACTGGAGCGTTCTCGTAGATAGAGTCGTGATATTCTTTCTTTGCAGATTCAATCTGTTCCTTGTGGTGTTTGTAGAGTAAGTTGTATTTT